GTGTACAATTCTTGCGCTTTGTTTTATGAAGACTGATACTGTCTTGAAGTTCCAGAAAAAAATATAAGCTGCAGAATCCTCTTTTGAATATACTGTGAGCACATAGACTGCGGTGTCGATACCATTTCCACACAAACTGCTGAGTGAGCATTCAGACTTCTCAATAAATTTTGAATTAACCTATTTCAGAGGAGTTTCACCAGACAAATATTCACTATCAACAGCTTACATTGGTTTTTTTATATTTAATCAAAAAAGTTTAGCGAGAAAACAAAACAGTTGTAACACCGTACAAATCAAAATTGTTCTGCTGTAATTTTGTTTGAAATAAACTACAAGTTTTTTGTTATACAACAGTCGGGCAATTGTTTGATAAAGCAGTAATCCAAACAGGTTCTGTTGTTTAGAATATATTTTTTGAGAATTGAGTATTAAAGCAATGAAATTATAAAGATGAAAAATAATTGTGGTACATTTAGAAATACGTCAAATTTTAACTGTTCAATTTGCAAAAGATTGCGAAAAACTTTAGAAACTTTTTGAAAATTTTCAATAATTTTTGCTGATATTTGTCTGTTTTCAATAAGATGAACAGAATGTTTTTTTCTATTTTCAAAGAATTACTGAATGTAAACTGCACAAACAATGTTTTGAGTTTCTGATTTCCGGTTTGTTTATTTACTTATTTTGATAAATTGTCGTGTAAAAGCCGCAAAATTTCAGTTTTCAATTCATCCTTCAATGAAGCGATTTGTTAGAACGCATTTGACTTTCTGCATTTCACTTCTTATTATTTTAAGCAGTCTTCAAAAATTTTTTGGGTTACTGAAGGACTTAAACAAGCACTACTTGTCGAGAGCTGCCTTGACTGACGAGCCAGTAACATTTCCAAGAACAGTAATTTATTACTTATTTTTTAATTAAATTTACCATACAAAATCTTCACAGTTTAAGTTTTAATAACAACTCATTTCTGTTTTAAACAACAAAGTCAAAAAAATCAAACAATAATTAGTGTTTAACGAGCTTTCACGTCTTTTTCTTTAGCTTATCGATCCGTATCGGTTTAATTGGACAATACTAGAGAGTGATTTTTGTACAGCACATAAAACACCCACTAAGTATTTGATAGTTATGTATTCAGCAAGTGAGAATTTTAAAGCACGAGAGGCATACAGACGCATGTATGGAGATCCACATATTGAAAAAGTAAAAGAATTTTTGTTTCTCAACTTATTTTTGCAATAACATTTAAATTATAAAAAAGAAGAAAACTAACTATTTTATGCTAACTAACAGTTCTATAAGTGGTCAACAAACTGCCCTTTACTAGAAAAGAAGGCAAAAATTTTTTCTTAGTTAGGTTATTTCTTTCATCAAAACAATCGCGGAAGCAATCTGCAGGGGTTATTTTGTGTACACCGCACCAGTTTGAATTTTACACTGATTAAATTTATCAGTATCGTCGAAGCTAGTAAACGTCTGTTAGCATAGTTTTTGTTTATTATTTTTAGACTATATTATTAGAGTGATTAAAGAATAGTTTCAGACAAACTTGAACAGTTTTTAGTTTACTGTCATTTAAAAATGTCATATTTGGAAATGCGCATAGTTTGTTTGACTGTGATCTACGCTAATTTTCTGCAAGTTTAGCTTTATTAAAAGTTTTTCAAAACAGATTAATAGCTTTTTGGGAGATAATACCAGTAAGCAAAGCAAGTGAAACTTTCTTGTTCACTATACTATGGTTAATTATTTATTTTGACAGCGTACATAGGACATTTTTGTAAGAAAATTGCAACAAACACGTTAAATTTTTGCGCGACGTTTACGAATGTCTTCTTACATCAAGTGGCCAATTCTAGAATTCTGTTTTTGCAACTTACTTCGAGAAACAAAGTCATCTCTTGCTGTAATGATAATAATAAATTGTTAAAGCTTTTTTAATTTTTGAATTTAACCTATAAAATTTAAGAATAAAGCTTTAATCTCTCAAAAACGTTCTTTAAGTCGATTTTCAACAGAATATCTTTTACAACCATTGAAAGTAAACTGCGGGCTATCTGGCACGCTTTTTATGTTGCTGCATTTGGCAACCAAATATAATATTCATCTCACGATTGCCAGTTTTCCCAAAAATAATTAGAGTTTTTACGAATTCTTTACAGTTCTTTAACGACCAGAATTGCAAATTTTAGGTTGTGGTTTCAAAGCTCTTCCGAGTTAGCTTAATGTTATCAATAATAAGTCTAGGTGTGTCAGAATAGGTGTTAATCGAAATCATCAAAAAAATTGTTGCTGTCATAAAATATGTGGCATTTTTAGTTAGGTGTTCATCTTCTTTTTACTCTTGGAATGTCTCGAAATCATTCACTTGATGAATCAGTTGAAAAAGAATCTCTACGCTACCGTGATATCATTCGCCAAGACTTTCTCGATACGTACTTTAATGTACCATGGAAGGTAGCATACTAACAAGTTGTGTAAGAAAAAAGTAGCTTATTAACGATAAAGATCAATTACTATAATGCTACAAATAAATATTTTTTCTTTGCGTATCGCTTTTTTACCTTAATGCTAAGCTGCGTAATTTACGTATAAAACTTTGATTTAGTTTTAAAAAAGTTGTTTGCTGTTTTACAGTGCATACTCCGGTCTTCCGCAGCAGCATAATTTAAAAGCACTGGCAGCAGTTACAACTGATTTTTAATAACGTTTACAGATGTAACGAAAACGTTTTTTTTAGGCAGTCATGGCTATAAGATTCGTAAACGAGTACTGCGATAAAGTGAGATACGTTATCACTACAAATGATGACGTGGTAATAAACTTTTGGGAGATATTAAAGAGTGTAAATGTTTATTTAAGTAGTGGAAAACCGAGAGAAGAGACTGAACGTACAATAATATGTAAGGTAGTACACCACGCAGAAGTTGTTCGTGACCCCAAAGAAAAGTGGTAAGACTGCTTGTGAACACTGTTTCACAGTGTTTAAACGTATTAAATTTTAATTGTTCCTGAAGGTCAAAATTAGTAAATAACTTGTTTTTTGCCGTCAGTCAAGTATTACTATTATTTAAACAATTCATGAAAAAGACTGGTTTCGCATTTTTTTATTTTCTGAAAAATAAATCTTT